GAGGACCATTATAAACCTCCCATATCAGACAACCTAATCCCCACATATCAGAAGAACTGTAATTCGATACATCTTTAGTTTCATAAACTAGATTGGATACTAATAATCTATACTTTTAACAATACCTTTTTGTTGAATGTTTATATTTACAGCTTTTCTGGTGGATCATATACATCTAGGTCTATACAAGTTTTAATTGGTATTTGTCATGTACTACACCAACAGCACATATATATTCAAACCCTCCTAGCTTCCATTCACCTGAAGTTTTATAAACACAGACCAAGATGAAACATTGTTATGTTGCAAGTTACCATCATTATTTAAAAATGATAAGGCTCGCTGAAATAAATGTATATAACATTTTACAATTATTTAATTAACAATGTACAAAATTATAGAACAATATTTTCATCTGAGTTATTAACTTCCCGTAGGGCAAGTTATAGTAATTTACCGTAATTTGAAACAAACCCCAGGCTTTGTACATATCTTGTTGACGTTTTTCAATTTGTAAACCAGCGATGTGCATAGCAAAAGGTTCAACAAACTCAGTAGCAAGATATAAGTTCTTCTCAGTTCCAAACTATCTATATATTGCAGTATACTAGGATGTCTGAGGGTCTTTAACCGTTTAATTGTCGCTTTTGCTATTTCCAAATTGTATTCGGTATTGTTTTTAATATCAAATATAAACACAGAGACGTCATCATTTGAACCTTTTTTCTTTGCTTTGTGTAATTCCATATACTTCTATTTTCTAAATTATATGTTTGATCAACAATTTCATAAGGAAAATCTTTGGAGGAATCTCTTACAAAGAAAGACCACATAGTTGTTAAAATTTAATAAATAAATAACGAAAAAAATCACTTAACCTATACCACATGACGTTAATAAATGTCACTCATTGCGTCAGTTTACTTCATTCATGTCACCGAATCATTCTAGTACTAGTATAAAATTCATTGCCAACATTAGAATTCAGTAACTAGTTGTAAGTGGCGTTTCGCCTTAAGGCGAGTTGCATAGATAAGAGAAACAAATAGTTGCATGAGCTTTTCCCATTTCCCGATATATGTAAATAAGAAATCCACTTGATAATCAATGAGAATTGAGATTTAGCTATTTAGATAAAATTTTCAACCATTTATTTAAAAAAAAAAACAGTTTTCACTTCATACTAAAAAATAAGATTAGGATGCGATTTTCTATAAATATTCTAAAGGCAAATAAACTCACATCCTTAATTATATAAATTAATTTATTTATCAAATTGCATTAAACTTCATGATTCAGAAATGCATTTTATTTAAGTTTAGGCATCAAAGCGGTAATCAGCAATCAAACGGAACGGATAAATTTTTATTATTTGACCGCTTTCCAAGGCCTATAATATTTCAGTATGTTAATTTATATCAATGAATACTATCATTATAAAAAGTTTCATCGAAATCGTCAACAATTTTTAAGCAAAGAAACTAATCTGCACGATTCCTAATTGATATCTTTTAAAGGGTTTTTAAAATCTCAAAAGCGCTCGAGGATTTTTTGCGAAAACGTAGACGAAAAATCTTGCTTTTTTCTGTGAAGTTAGAAAAACGGCTCGGCCTATCGGCTATGCAATTGTAAAATTGAATGACAATGCGCCCATACCCTTTTCTTAACAACATAAAAATCTAGGAATTAGAATTAATATAGCAAATAGTATGGATCCATTACCTTATCAATTGTTAGGACAGAAAAAAACTGAAATCAAATATGCATATATCAGAAATGCATAAAAGAAAATTTGTTCATAATCATTAAATATAAATAAAATTTTTCATAAGAAATTATCTAACATATAAGTGGAATCTTAATTTCTTCAAGATATTGAAAGGTATTACAATTTTTGCATTAAATTATTCTTGAAAAATAATACAAATTCATATTTATACATATAGATTAAAATAAATTTGAAGTAGATAACGTTAATGTAATCTTAAAACTGTAACAATCATAAATTCACTTATATACAGTTATAAAGATTAATTAACAATATCTGATAAAAAGTTAAATCCTTAAACTTATTAGGCATAACCATTCAACTTAATTCTCTTATTGTGCCTAGATTTATTGTTTGTCCTTGATGGTGAATCATTATCAGAGCTATCTGAAGTTAAGGAACTTCCGTCACTTTTAATATTCATTGATAAGTCGCTAGTTTCAGCAGCAAAATTTCCTGTTGCCTTTGCCCTTTCTAGTGTTGGACTGTAAATAAAAGCAATCATGAGTGAACATATATTAAAATACATTTATCTTTCTTAGTTAGGTTACATACATTATATATATATATTAATTGAAAATATTCTATTAATTGAAAAATGATCAGCATGCCAAGGGAAGACAAACAGTGATTAACGATATTAAATTATTTGGATAATAAGTATTTGATATTAAAAGAATTTTAACAACATATTGTACATTTTAACAAACAACTATAATAATGAAAACCAGTAAATGCAGAAAAAGTTCAATAGTATTTTGAGAAATTTCAATAGTAGTCAAAAATTAAGTAAAATAATATTAAACAGTAAATATTTTCAATAATTGATGTTTCATTTGTTATAACATAGATACATTGATAACATAATAAGCACATTTGCCACTTTTCCAAGAACTAATGCACAATTTTATCGTTTTCTAACGTATCTCGTGAAAAATAATTTGTGAAACACTATTACACATTTTATGCATTAGCTAATGCTTCAATAAAAAAATGTATTATGAATATTAAAACAATATCACAGTTAATTAGATATTAATAAAAATAAGCACTTAGATTTATAGTAATTTTGATATTTGTATCAACACCCATGATTTTATGCTCATAATATTTGCTAATCATGTAGTATGAAACTCTTATTAGTTTATCAAATTATTAAATTGGTTTATCAAATTATTTTTTAGTAATATCAAATTACTTTGTTGCTCTAAAATACTATTTTGCCTCTTGAGATCATCAATATCTTGCTGGTGGCAATTATTTTTTTTCCTCATAAAATGAATATACTCTGCTGCCTTTTTGAGTATTTGTGCTCGGCTTGCCTGTAAATAAAAATTACATATAACAGTTTCTTATATACAAAACAATTTTAAACCATTCATAGTTTTGAAAATAAAACATGACATATTTGTCAGAACTCACAACTTTTTCTCCTTGTAAAGCTGGGACAGAGTCCCTTAGTGAAGTGAAGCTGTCTTTTATGTGATCCCTGCGCTTTCTCTCCAAAGCATTATGATGAGCTCTCTTTTCTGCCTGCAATAAAAAAAATATTCATTAAGAGTTATATGTAATTCCACAAGAAAACAGTTTATATTAGCAATCTACTTATAGTGAGAAGCATTTAGGACTCGAATTCAAAATAGAACTAGAATGATATTATTCTGTTCAACACTGTACACAAAAATTTATGACTAGAATGAGTTAATGCAGTTCTCCTAATGATCTATATTCAAATTCAGCACTTCGATTTTATTAAAAAATTATATAAAAATAAATACAAAAAGTGTCACTGTAATCAAAACATAACAAGTCATGAAGCAATCCATAATCTCTTATACCTTCTGACTGAGATATGGAGATGCATTTATTGCAAAATAAATAAAAAAAAAAAATAAAAATAAAAAAAAACAAAGCGATAATAAAAATAAAGGCTATTATTGCCTTTGAATATAGCCTATACTCAAAGTTCTTCGAAGCTGTCAGTTTTTCTCATAAATTTAATAAGCAATAAGTTCCAAACTGTTTCTATGACAGTATCGGAATATAAAAAACAATAATGAATCATTATGAATAAACATAACTGCATTTATTGAGTTCTCAAATTAATGAATTATTATTTTCCTTTGATGAATTATGGTCATATTAATAATTAAATCACAACTACAGACATCAATATCAGATATTATATTGTGATGTAAATAATGAAAATATATAATATAAGGTATATAATTAATATTATATACCTGTGAATAATATATAGTTCCAGCATTGCGCCCTGGTAATCGAGAATCCGAGTCATCAGCATCCTGAAATGACACATTTATGCACTAAATTCAAGAAAATAGGAAACAGCATGTGGTAGCATACTTACATCACTTTCAATATCTATGTCACGATCGTCATCACTCATTATTTACGTATATTTATAAATATCTATTTATTATTAAATTATTATTAAAATTGCCACTTTAGAAAGTACGCGTACATACAAAAGGCACAAGCTTACAAATTATAGATTTATGTTTTCACCCATTCACCAAAATTTTCAAATGATATTATTATATAAAATTGTTCATTTGTGACTTGATTATATCACATAATTTAAAATAAAAATTGAATTTAGTAATCTATTCGTGACAATCCAAACCACGCTGCTTGATCACGTTCTCTTCATTGTACTGTACCTGACATTAATATAGACTGAGCTAATTTAGTTTAATAGCTATTCTTTGTCATACCAACATACGACGCTCAACCGAGATAAAAAAAGTGTAACAACATTGAAAGACCAAAAAACCTATGTGTGTCAAACACAAACTGTCAAACAAAAAAACAAAACGGTCAAACGTCAAAAAATATATATTTTATATATGTTTCTACCTATATATTTAGACACCGTTTAGACAGTAACAAAGAAAGCCAATTATAAGTATATTAATTATTAACGAAAGCGGTTCTTTTACATTTACATGGTCATACATTGTTCTCACAACCATATTATTTCAGGAACCAAACATATAGTTATTCAAAAACCTAGTACAGTTTGTTAGAAATTATTAGGAAATTTTTAATTAGGGATTCGCAGAGTGTTTTAGTATAGTTATTTTATTTACCCAGGTAAATGTTATTCAGGTGTTTTTTTTTGCTTATGTGTTTTAATTATATTGTAGGGTTCACTGAATTAAGAATTAGGACTTCAGCCTGAACATCAAAATAGCTAAGAGTCTGTGCATGTAACATCTGATTATTAGAACTTAACTCATATGTATGATGTACTATATATATATATTATATATATATAATATATATATATATATAAAGTCTAGCATAGTATAGTAATGTAGTAAATAAGTTCAGCCGTATTTTTGCCTATTTTTATTTTAAGTGATCTGATTACTTTTTCTAACAATGATTAACATAGGTAATAAGAAACACAATTAAAAACCATCTATTTCATAACTATTTTTAATTCAATATATAGACACATTACTATTTACAATATAAGCATGTCACAGGAAACATTTAATAAATAATATAGAATAAATATAAATAATATAGAATAAATATAAACATTGAAATTAAACATAAAAAGAAGGATGCTTATATTTGTTTTAGTGGAGGAGGAAAGGTGTGTAATGTCTTCAAAAGATACCGAAGAAGATTGGGCAGGTGAAGGGTTAGGGATATTATTATGAACTTGGCTCCAGACGAGTTAATAAATATAAATTTAAAAGTTTTAAGGCAGAAAGCACACGCATTGGGATAAAACAGCTCTTGGCTCTTTGTCATGTTTTGCCTCATGTGGGGATACAAGGAGCTACGAGCTGTGAATGGAATCTGACACTCGGTACAGAAAAAGTCGCTGTCCATGTTGCCACATAAGTAAAGTAATAAAGTGAAATATAAAATAAAAGTAATGAGGTAATAAAACGTATCGTAATAAAATGTAAAGAAAATTAGAAGCTAAAGTAAATATATAAAGTGTGTATCTAAATGATATTAATTCTAAACTAAATATAAACTTAATGAGCAAAATCTAAAAATAAGCTTATAAAATAGAATGTAACCTAAAGTGAAATAAAAGTAAGTATCTAAATAGTAAAAAATATGAAACGAAAAATAAACTTACGCAAGCTAAGTAAAATCTAAAAAACACGTAACGAAACTAAAAAGAAACTTACGCAATCTAAGTAAAAAATCTAAAAAACACTTATTGTAACTATGAAATATGAAAATTAAGCATGAATTATAATAAGAAGCTTACTAGAGCAAAAAAAGCAAAGCAAGGAAAGCGATCAAAAAAACGAAAAACCGAACCGAAATATGTGAAAAAAACTGTATAAACAAATAAAAAAAAAGAATAGAATTAGAAATAGCAACAGAACGAAAGAATTCTAATTACACGAAAAGAAAAAGCAGAAAATATAGTAAAACGCTCACTTGAAACGAAACCGACGCGACGCTAACCCTCACAAAAATGAGAAAAGAAACGCGGGACTAAATATTCCACGAAATGACAGGATGCCATAGATAAAAGAAGAGTATATGGGTTATGCTCTATCCCGGAGCCAACTTCAGAGCGTAGGTGCTTTTTAAACGTCAAAACCCATCTGCCATGTTATCAAAATTTAGTGGCTCCTGACATTAATATAGACTGATAATACAAATAGTTTTTTTACTCTATGGCTTTCCGTCGTTATGACATCACTTTTGTATCTCATCCAGTGAGTTATCTATGAACTAATGGTAAAGCACCATAGACCTTATATACGTGTCTTATATAGACCTTATATAGATAAAAGATAAATACATAGATAAAAGAAGAGAATATAGATAAATACATAGATAAAAGAAGAGTATAATAATAGAGATAAATAATAAATAATATAATATAGATTGGCATAAATGGAAATATAATATAGATAAATAATAAATAATAATATAGATTGACTATTCACAGATAAATAAGTACATAGATAAAAGAAGAGTATCACTATAGTATACATATATATATATATATATATATATATATATATACATATATATATATATATATATACATATATAATAGAAGAGTATATAGATCGCTCTCTCGGGCCATATTTCGTTGCCACGTTTTTCGGTCAAAACTGTCAATTTGCCCGGGTTAGTTTCCTCTCCCAATGTAGATGGCGCCAGCGTCGACCATGGGTGCGAATATAAAATGCTGAAGATATGCACCAATATTATATAGACCGTTTGAATTCAAATTTTTTTTTTAAATTAAAAAACCAAAATTGAATATAAAAAAGCGTATAATTTCAACAATGACATGTTACATTATACTATTACAATACATATTTATAAGATATGCAATTTGCATAAATGTATATATTATATATATTTGTATATATACACATATATAATGTGTACTGTAATATAAATATATATAAATTATATATAATATATATATATATATATATATAAATGGCACATAAATGTATGACGATTAGTGAGCTTTATGAACTATGCACAAATAGCATAGAAACGTACATAAATGTATATATTATCCACTGTGTATGTGCATATATATATATATATATATATATATATATATATATATATCATATATGATTACAATAGATGCTACTAAGCTTATACACTATGTACAAATGGCATAGAAATGTACATACATGTACACATTATCCACTATATATAGATATATATATATATATATATATATAGATATATATATATCATATATGATTACAATAGATGCTACTAAGCTTTATACCACTATGTACAAATGGCATAGAAATGTACATACAGGTACACATTATCCACTCTGATATATATATATAATATATATATATATATACTATATAATATATATTATATATATATATTGTACATATGGTTGTTCAATGTCTTGTGTGGACAGGGTAGTGTGTCCAAGCCTCGCTTTCTTGTATTCAAAAATAGCCCAAATTGCAGCACTGCAAAATGAAATGGCCATTTCATATCACACACTATTCTTCCTGAATGAGATTGAGTTTAGCTACGACCGCCCTAAGGCACAGACTCCTATTATGTATGTGTGTATATGTGTTTTATGTCAAAAAAAACTATCTAAAATAAATATTTTTTTCTAGATTGCTAGAAAATTTAAATATAATTTAGACATTATCTATACTATATAACTAAAGTATGGAATTGATCCGAATAATAAATACCAAACAAAAGAGATAGAGTTACTAAAACTCTCTTCATGCGCTAAAAGTTAACTTAAAATCAGCAACAACAATTCCAAAAATGTCATAAATATTATTGCAATCCAAAAGAGAAACATATTCGAAAATAAGGAATAAAATTTATGTCTAAGATATTATTGTAAAATAAATTGTTTATATTCATCTTGGTGCTCAATCAAATAATGATAAGTTACATTAAATCTATGTATAGTAGTATTATATATTTGTATATATACACATATATAATGTGTACTGTAATATAAATATATATATAATATATATATATATATATATATATATATATATATAAATTGCACATAAATGTATGACGATTAGTGAGCTTTATGAACTATGCACAAATAGCATAGAAACGTACATAAATGTATATATTATCCACTGTGTATGTGCATATATATATATATATATATATATATATATATATATATATTATATCATATATGATTACAATAGATGCTACTAAGCTTTATACACTATGTACAAATGGCATAGAAATGTACATACATGTACACATTATCCACTATATATATATATATATATATATATATATATATATATATATATATATCATATATGATTACAATAGATGCTACTAAGCTTTATACACTATGTACAAATGGCATAGAAATGTACATACATGTACACATTATCCACTATATTATATATATATATATATATATATATATATATATATATATATATATATATATATGTACATATGGTTGTTCAATGTCTTGTGTGGACAGGGTGGTGTGTCCAAGCCTCGCTTTCTTGTATTCAAAAATAGCCCAATTGCAGCACTGCAAAATGAAATGGCCATTTCATATCACACACTATTCTTCCCTGAATTGAGATTGAGTTTTAGCTCACAGACCTGCCCTAAGGCACAGACTCCTATTATGTATGTGTGTGTGTGTGTTTTCATGTCAAAAAACTATCTAAAATAAATATTTTTTTCTAGATTGCTAGAAAATTTAAATATAATTTAGACATTATCTATACTATATAACTAAAGTATTGAGAATTGATCCGAATAATAAATACCAAACAAAAGAGATAGAAGTTACTAAAACTCTCTTCATGCGCTCAAAAGTTAACTTAAAATCCCAGCAACAACAATTCAAAAATGTCATAAATTATTATTGCAATCAAAAAAGAGAAACATATTCGAAAATAAGGAATAAAATTTATGCCTAAGATATTCTTGTAAAATAACTCTGTTTATATTCATCTTGGTGCTCAATCAAATAATGATAAGTTACATTAAATCTATGTATAGTCTCTATCTGAAAACCTTTTCTGCACATTGCATTAATCTGCTTTTAAATGTTGATCAAAATATCATTATCATCATTATCACAAAGAAAAAGAAATCATTATGTTCTCATAACAGTA